TAGTTGAATGAGAAATACCATTCATGGTCAAAATATAGAGGTCTTCATCTTCAAGACCCAAAGCCACACCCTTATAGTGAGTGTCAAATCCACTGCGCAAAAGGACCGGTCAAGTGTTTGAAACATCTTTAACGTTCCAGAGGGTTACAACACTGTCACAGTGTTGTACCTATATTAAATAATGTCTTCTGTAGCTACAGGGATACAAACTACAAGGCAATTCATTTAAAACCAAGAATAGGAGATACAGTATGTTTTTCACAAAGGGTTGTGTCAGTCACCCAGCCATGTTTATGAAGCTGAAATAGGAGCACAAGAAAGTTCAGCGGCCCTTCTAGCTTCTTTGGATGCAAGTACTTAATTGATCTGAGGGTATCATCCAGCCATTTCTTGACAGAAGGCACATGGCTGACCAGTGTGGTTCACACTCCCACAATTCCTTGTGTCTCCTGTTCGCATTTTTAAAAGTGCATTTTAAAGTCTTCTGTGTTCAAAACTGAAAAAGATTAATTTCCTTCAGCCTATAGGATATTACTTTAAACCCAGAAATGGATCTGGTTGCTCTGCTTTGGAATGATGCCAGAGCAGCAATCTGTTATCCATCAAGCTAACCAAAATTGCACACCTTGTAATTCAATTTCAGACAAGGTCTTACTAGGGCACTGTGCAATTTTAACATAATATCCCTTTTTTTATTCTCCATTTTTGACTCATATCCTAACATTCTCTTTGCCTTTTAAAGTATTTTTCCATAAGTCACTTCAAGCCCCGTATTTTCCTTTTTATACTGTATTTATTCATTTATAAAATTGCAAATTAATATTTAAACATACGTCTGCATTAGAAGACTTTTAATTTCAGGTTTCTACACACTACTGAAGATTGTTTTTATTGTTTGGAATTTTCATTACATTATCTACACTTTTCTAAATCCTCCCATTATAATGAATATATTTTATTAAACAAATATTGTAGTATTCTATTATAAATGTTCCTTTTTTGGGGAGGGTTAGGATTTAGACACATTCAGTTATAATCCCAAAGATGGTATTTTAATGTATATTCCAAATATTTATTAAATACCAAATATAAAATACATATAAATGACAAAGTCTACTAATCGTGAATAGTCTTATTGCAGACTCTTGTTGTTCATCACTAATTACATCACCCCAGAATAGATTATCTGTACTCTATACCAATTCAAAACTTTTATGCTTACTGTAAAATGTGACCAGATCTTTTACAGAAACTTTATCAAAGCCATCTATAAATCTAAATGCTATTTTGCATATTTTCTGCATGTCCTCTACTGTTGTTCTTTGATACATTTACTTTTTTCAAGAAATAATTCTCAGCAAAATTAGAATATCTTAGTACTCAGAATTATTTGTGCCTTTCTGCAGAAGGAAAGAATTACCTGTGTGAACTTAGTCCATTGACAGGCTCTCCACATCTCCAAGAATAGCCAGGTCTTCAGGGTTTCCCTTCATCCTACTGTAGCTCGTTAATAATTAATCCAACCAATAAACTGAGGAAATTAACTAAGCCTTTTCAACCAGTGGTGTTAGACAAAACTGGCAAGACACTTCCACTCAGGGACCAGAGCTACCAGAATCTGTTTTTTATTACACCGGACTGAATAAATTATCATATTAAAAGCTACACTCTCATCTCTTACCTGGAAGGTGATCGGGAGATTTGAATTTATAGGTTATATTTCTACACTGAAGAATTTCCACTATCAACTGTTCTCCTTCTGTCTTCATTTCTTTCTTCAAAGCAATTTTAATCTCCCCCATGACTTGTGTTTTACCTGTATGGAAAAAAAAAGATTGACAAAAATAACCTAAACACACATTTTCCAGACAAGTATTGTAATATTTGGAAATACATAGAAATGTAAATGCAGAAATTTAAAATAAAGCCTAACAGTTTAATCTACACCTATCCGAGTTTCCAATAAATTATATTCTGTATGGCTTCAGTTTGCCCACAATTACAGGAAGTGTAATTATGCAAATTTCTCATGTATACATTTTGTTTATTTGGTTGTAAAATTATCATGAGATGTTTGCTGTCTGAGCAATAATACTGGCAAATGTGCATCAGTCTGTCACAGATGGAAAAAATACAAAATACAAAGTTTGTCATCTCATCTTACAGTATATTTTTGCAAAACAGAAAGGGCTTACTTTTCATTCCCTTAAGTTCACTTAAAGGCCAACAACAACTGTCACAGAGCACATCTTCAAGAGTTAATTAAGTTCAATCGTGCAAATATACTGCATCATAAATAGTAATTAAGTTTTGACTGAAATGCCCTTATCAAATGGATCAGACACCAAAGCTTTACAAGCAAGCCAGTTCATGATATTTTTAATTTTATTCAAGATTTCTGTTTACGCAGAAGGACAGTATTTGCTCACCAACCGGCATTTCTGTTTTTTCCCTTTTTTGTTTTTGGCAAAAAGCCCTTTCTGAATGTGCTCACGATTTAACTTTTAAATCCCAAAACAGCCTTTCCTTTTATTCAGAGCAACACAAAACATTTATGAGATACGGTATCTGACTTGAAAACCAACAGGTTGAAATAAGTGTGGTTTACGTCATCCTGGCTAGGTTTAGCAAATGTGCAGAATTATGACACTTTTTTTCACTCTCATCCAGGCAGACCAATCAGCCCTCCAGTGAAATCCACTTCTCATCTCCATCTCTGTTATGAAGTAATACAGCCCCACTGGATGAACAGAAAGGTTGGAATATTGGCTCACTAATCCTGTACAATGCAAGGAGGGTTTAGGCTGAGGAACTGCAAGGTTGAACCAGTCTGTAATTCAGAACAAATAGCAAGGAATTTAAATACCCGTTTCCAGTTAATTAAATTAAGAAATGTATTAAATTCTTGAAATTCAGTGCTAATAAATATTTCCTATAAAATAAATATTTATTTCTTGAAATTAACTGAAAAGAACTAGTCATAGACACTCATTTTTATATATTAGGGTACAGTAACTCTAAAAGAAGTAAGCTAAATTAAAATAATACTGCTATTTACAAGTTTAGTTTTTATGACATCTTTTTAAATAAATACTCTGAAAAGATTATTTCCAGAAAGAAAATCGCATATGACAGGATATGTAAGACACAATTTTTAATTCCTTATATAACCATTTTTGAAACACTTTACAGAAAAAAGTCAGAATTCTCCACACTAATCATAACTACAAACGTTTGAGTATAAAACAGTCATTAACAAAAAAAGTAAGAAAATGCTACAATAAGCAAATCTCTTCAGCGGCTTTACTCATGCACTCAGAAGATCAATCACATCTTCTACAAAATGAAAAATACTTTCAAGTAATTAAGACTTCACCCAGCTCAAAACACATAAACAGAATGCTCTACGCTACATTATCATTTACATTGTAGAAAGGCTTCAAATAAGAAGAGGCCATTCGGCCTTTCCAGCCCATTAGTTAGTAAGTAGCTAATTGTTCCAAGAATCTCATATAGTCATTTCTTCAAAGAAGCTTGGGTATCAGCTTCAAAAACATGCCTGGGCCGGGGTTTTTTTGTCCCATATTCAAAAACCCAAAAAAACCTGATCAGGGTTTTTTTGTCCCATATTCCCCCAGCCCTTTCAATAAAGAAGTGCCTCCTGTTCTCGGTTTTTAAATGAACTTCCACGTACAAGTCAGGTGAGAGGGATTATTTCCTGTGACGCATCCAGTAGTATCTTCATGATGCTGCTGCCCAGTATTCAAGGATGGAGGTGTACTGTGTGTCTAACTTAATGCATGAAAGCTCATCACCCCATTCAAGACTTAAAGGTCCTGTCTTCCACACACAGTAAGACTGCCAACCACTCAGGTGCAAAGGAACTCCAACAGAAACAGCAAACTTCGTTAAGTTCGTTAATATCTTGCTAATGAGGTCTCTTATGCAATTTGTACTGCTAATCACACACAGTCTTCCCCTCAGGAGCTCAATCCATGCTCTACGATTAAGTCTCTTAATCAGTTCCAGGGAGTATGCCCATGGATTGAACTGCCTCTATCCTACAGGGAGCCATCTGCACATGTTGATATCCACTATTTATAGACCTGATCGGGGTTTTTTTTTCCCCTGAGAGGTAATGCTATTCAGAACAAGCTAGCCTAGGAGTTGCCATGTGTGTGTATTTCTGAGAACTTCGAAATACAGTTTGAAACCAGCTTTTTGCGTGGCTGCAATATACTGATGTGCCGAATAACCCATTTTAAAGCATTTAAGAGAATTTCGTGGGAGTGTGTCAAGTGACCATGGAACAAAATATAAAGATGATAAATATCATGTTTGTTAAAAAAAACTCTTCCTTTCCATGCCTGTCACGACTAGCACAGTATCAGTAGTTTGTTATGTTTTTGAAATGGCAACATCATCCTCATCCTTTGTTATGGATAATCCCAAAAGGAATTGATTCAATACTTGGAAATTAAGATTTTTCAAAAAAAAATTTTTCCAAAGCAATTTTCTAAGCAAACTTAAATTAAAAAAGAAACAAAAAAGTACAGTATAAGAAATACAATATGCACACAATGCAAAATTGTAACTTTGTGTCATGTTTTAAGTATAACATAATCTGTCCACAAGGGGGAGAAATTAAACAACTGTACATGACTTATGTTGAACAATCTTACCCATGGACTGTACTACGGGTTGTATAATGATTTATCCTGTGATGAATCAATCTTCACGGAGTATCTGAAAGTCATTTAATATTTTGTATAATATACAATACTGGAATAAAGTCTAAAATAATACACATATGGGTTTTAAAAACATTAAATACTCATTAATAGTATAAATAGTAAAGGTAATTCTTTATATCATGATCATAGTGACATTATTAAAAACACAGATCTAGCCTTTCAATAGTTCCTTAATGGTGTTCACAGCTCTTTGGAAAATGTGTTAAGGATACTTGGTCTAGAGTCCTGGCTGTTTTAATGATCTTGCTTTAGCTTGAAGTCCTATATTCCACCAAAATCTAATCAGTCCTTGTCTATATTTATATAAAGTAAATCACAGATTAATCTCACTCAAACTGAGCCTGAAAGGCACAAACATTAGAATGTAAGAAAACTTAAACACATGAGATGGTTGTTTAGTCCATTCTGCCCATTCTGTAGTGAATTGATCCAAGGGGCTCATCTAGCCATTTCTTGAAAACTGCCAGGGTATCTTCTTGAAAAACATAGCTGGGTAAACTCATACCTCCTTCCTGGTTTCCACATATTTGACCAGATTAAAAATGTCTCATATTATTTCCACTTTCCGCTGTGAAAAAAAAACTGTTTGGTTTCCATTCATTATTTTTAATAGAATAAGAAGAACTAAAATTTCATTCCAACAATACCTTCCAAAAGGTGCCCAATGGCACTTTTGCAAGGAACCACTGACCTCTATAGATGTGCAATTAATTTCACTCCAACGCTGTGAGCTAATTAACCATTTCACCTCTCTTTTTAGCACAACTAAAACAAAATTACCCTTAATACCAAAATGAGTTGTATTTGACTGAATCAACAAACAAATGTTCTGTATGTCCATCGGACTTTTTGTACTCCAGAAAAGACGGACTGTGGGAAGTGTTTTAAAAAAAAGAACACTGAAGTCACAGTGTGTGTACAGTGTGTGGAAAAAAAGAAAAGTCAGCTGTGTTTGCACTCGCCTCCGCTTCGTGCTCAGTTATTGGAATAGAACAAATACGTTTCCCTCAAGGCAACATGACAACAAAGGCATCCAAGAGGTAATTAAAAAACACAGCAGAGAACAGAGAGTAAAGAAAATCTGAATAACAATTTGTTTAACATAATTTAGTGGTAGTTATATTGGCATTTCCATTATGTTAGCCACTGCTATAAAAAGAATCCACTACGAGATGCTACTGTAATATGTTCTTGTGAGCCAAACTGTAATGAATTCAAAACGGATGTTTACCCCAAGTACTAACATCCAAAATATACACCTCATTCTTTTTTTTTAAATTAAGTTCTTTTGTGTGGCAAAACTAATCTATTTTGTCCACCAGAATGTTGTTATTGATGTACTGCAGCTATCGCTGATAAGAATGAATGTGCCTGGCCAGACGAAGGGCCATAACAACCATAACAACCAGAGGAAGCCTTCGCCAATTTCAAATCTCTCCGTAGTGCTGGCAGTTATAAGCAAACCAAACCCCTTCTGGCAGGAGCTGGTCACTGCTGGCTTAAGACAGCCCAGATCTCTTGACTTATAATAATTGCTTGCACTTATATAGCGCTTTTCTGGACACTCCGCTTTACAGGTAATGGGGACTCCAATCAATGTGCACCAATGTCCAACATTGCCAATGTCCACCTGGATGATGCGACGGCAGCCATAGTGCACCAGAACGCTCACTATACATCAGCTATCAGTAGGGAGGAGAGCAGAGTAATGAAGCCAATCCATAGATGGGGATTATTAGGATTATTGGTAAGGGCCGATGGGAAATTTGGCCAGGATGCCGGGGTGACACCCCTACTCTTTTCGAGAGACGCCCTGGGATTTTTAATGACCACAGAGAGTCAGGACCTCAGGACCTCGGTTTTACGTCTCATCCGAAGGACGGCTCCTGTTTATAGTATAGAGTCCCCATCACTATACCGGGGCATTAGGATCCACACGGACCGCAGGGTGAGCGCCCCAGCAGCAACCTTAGTTTTTCCCAGGAGGTCTCCCATCCAGGTACTGACCAGACTCACACCTGCTTAGCTTCAGTGGGCTGCCAGTTGTGAGTTGCAGAGTGAT